TTTTTCTTAACGTTAGCCATAGTGCAGTAAATATGTGACCCTGGACCACAAAACCAGTCATAGCATGGGTATATATTTGTAGCAATAGCCAAAAATACACTGTGGGTCAAAATGATCGATTTTTCTTTTATGCCAAAAATCATTAGGATTTTAAGTAGATCATGTTCCATGAAGATATTTTGTAAATTTCCTACCGTAAATAGGAATTTGATTAGTAATATGCATTGCTAAGAACTTAATTTTTGACAACTTTAAAGATGATTTTCTCAATATTTAGAGTTTTTTGCACGCTCAGATTCCAGATTTTCAAATAGTTATATTTCGGCCAAATATGGTCCTACCCTGTCCTATCCATACATCAATGGAAAGCTTACTTATTCAGCTATATGTATCAGGAGCGTTTCCTCAGAGGAGGCAGTGTCTCCTCAAAATATTGGATGAGAAAAAAATTCGTAGTACAAAAATAAAACAAAGCCAGTATTACAAAATATTAAAAAAAGTTTATAAATCACTTGTTTTTCTAAAGAAACAATGTCCAACAGCGACACCAGTAGGTAAAGTTACCGCAGGAGTCCACGTCTCTCTCGCCTCCCCTGAGCCCACTGAGTTTCAACAGACCCCCTAAAACGTGCGGTGAGTTTGGTGGGGGGTAATTGGGAATGAATGGGGGAAAATCACGTGAAAGGAGGCAATGCCTACATCGTGGTATGATTGGATCTGACTGTTTATGATCGGCTGTGATTGGTTCATGCGATAAATCCCGCCTCTTGTGTTCATGTCCGCGTTCGCGAATCAGTCTGAATTAACAATATAATGGTGTTAATGGGAAGACTCATTTAAGAAAGTAAGTAAACAACTCATAGATTTAAATATAACCACTTTATTACGTCAAAATAAGACTTAAAATGGCCTGAAAACATGATGTGTGGGAGTTTTTAGTGAGTAACCAGCTTGGTGAAATTTAATGTAAATCTCTGTGTCTGTGATCAATATTTACCGAGCTTTGATGACCGAATAATTAACAGTTAACAATTAAAAAGAATAGCTGAACATAAGTTCACAAATAAAATATATTGTTTAAATTGTTACTGCCTTGAGTTATTATTTTGGAATAAATGTAAACTGCTTAAAAACACTTGATTGTTTAATAATGGGGAAAACAAGCAAGACATACGGATGCTGCATGAATCCGAACACAGGGAAACAGGATTCACCCTGCGACAAACAACCAAACACTGATGCATTAGAGCGGAGCGTCTTACCCGCAGTCCTCTCTTTCCAGGGGGTCCGGGGAGACCTGGGGGGCCAATGGGACCCTGCAGAGAAACAGAAAATGAGGAAGAGAGATTGATTCCTGAACAACTGTTTCTGAACAGCACAAGAAAAAGCATAATTGGAACCGCGTGTCTGACTCCCGCTTTCAACACAGAAAAGCACGTCTGGCATCTGAGAGAGACGAACACGAGCACAGATTAATGAACACCAATAATCCGATTCATGCAGAATTACTGAGACACGGGCTGCTTTAGTGGTGGTTAGAGATCTGGGCTGGCGAGCGTGACGGGATATATATGGTGTGAAAACATGGAGAAATATTAAATACAGACACTTATTAAATACATAAGTCCAAAATGAGAAGAAGCATTAATTAAGTGCCTTTGTTTGTTTTCATCAAGTTCCATAAATAAATAAATAAATAAACAAACAAATAAATAAATAAACAAAGAAATAAATAAATGTTTTTCTTTGCTTCAAGTCCAAAAAGTTCCAAATGAAAAGATAAAAATTCAATTTATTTATAAATAAAATTATTTAATTTAAATATTTATTATTTATGTTTTAAAATTATATTGTATTATTTAAACAATATTTATTATGTATATATAGACATTATATTTATAC